TTTGCTGTTAAATAAATCCAAGCTGGCTTAATTTTAAAGCCTTCTCCCCACCTTGCCGCTCTGCTTGGCTGAAGGAAGCGGAGGGGGGTAAAAGAGGACGGCCGCCCCCCCTCCTCCTTTTTCTTTCGTTTTTACAAAAAAGAACAATTACACCCGAAGATCAATCACGAATATACCACACACACATGTCCATGTTAACGTGTGGACAGGATAACCGGTGACAGGTTGTCGGTTGTCTGAGATCGGGCAACACGCTGCTGGTGTGAGCTGTCATAGCAGAGAGCGGAGCACCGGAGGAGAGAGGCAGAGAGAGGCAGAGAGAGACAGAGATTCAGGGGGGGAGAGCGGAGAGGTGGCTGGTGTAGGTCCGCACAGCACGGCGAGCGAGCGACGACTGAGAGGGGAGAGAGAGAGAGAAAGAGAGAGAGCATGAGGAGGAGAGAGGCAGACGCAAGGAGAGAGGGAGGCAAGTCAGGGAAGTAGAGAAGAGGGAGGGAAAAGTCCGGGATGGAGGGGGCCGAGAGAAAAAGGGAGAAAGGTATCTGGAAGAAGTAAAAACAGACTAACTGAAGAGGGAGGAAAGAGTGATAGAAGAGGATGGGAAAGGAGGTGAAAGAGTAGAGGAATGACAAGAGGAAGGGAAAATGGGTAAAGAAGAAAGGAGGAAGGAAACAGACTTGAGGTAGGAAGGAGGGAAGGACAGATATTTCGGGAAAGGGTATGGGAGAAAGGAAGGACATAGGGAGAAGAAAGAGGGAGGAAACGGGAAAGGGAGAGGAAAGAAGGGGGATTTTAATGGAGGACAAAAGAGTTAACGAAAGACAAGAGGAAGGATGAACAAGTGAGGAAAAGAGGAGGGAGGAAACAGACTTCCAAGAGATAGATGAATGGGCAGAGGGGGGGGAGGACAGATCAGGAAAAGGTAAGGGAGAAAGGAAGCATGAAAAGGGCAAAGGGAGGGGAAATAAATGGTGACTTCAAGGCGAAAGAGGAAAAATAAAGGAATGAGAGGAAAAGAGAGAGGAAGGGAAGAAGGAGGGAAGGAAGCATTAAAGAAGAAAGAAGGAGAGCTGGAGCACAAAGTGATGAAATGAAAGAAGCAGGAATAATGAAAGATTTCAGTAAAAGGTCAAAAGAGAAGGATGGATGAAAGACAGATGGCAGGAGGGAGAGAGAAGGATGAGGCGTGTGGTGCAGTGGGTTGTGCGTTGGTGTTGGGATCAGGTTCAAACCCCACTGCAGTCAGCATGTCGTTGTGTCCCTGGGCAAGACACTTCACCCCAAATTGCTCCTGTGGGGATTGTCCACAGTATTAAGTATGTAAGTCGCTTTGGATAAAAGCGTCTAACAAGTGACATGTAATGTAATGGATGAGAGGGAGGGAGGAGAAAAGGAGAGGTGAAGAACACAGAGAACTATTTCAGAAGAAAGACTGAAAGAAGAGAGGAATCGGATGGAACGAAAGAAAACACGTAAAGAGAAGAGAGAGCAAATCAAGACGGACAAAAAGGGGATTTAAAGGGTTAAAGGGAGATTGAAGAGGATGACACAAGGCAAAAAACACGACAGGGAATTTCAGGAAAGGTAGCGATGGAAAAGAGGGAAGGGAACAACGCACAGGAAGACAGACGGATAGATGGATCAAGAAGTAAGAGATGGAATGAGAGAAGGAAAGGGAGAAAGGAGAGGGGTGGAGGACACAAAGAACACTTTCAGAAGAGAGAATAACAGATGTGTTCAGGGAGGGAATGACTAAGCTATAGGGAAGGAGGAACTAGGGAAGGAGGAACTAGGGAATGACTAAGCTAGGGAAGGAGGAATCAAATCAGATCAGAAGGTAGGAAAATGAAAAGAGATATCGAGAAATGGAAAAGGAGGAGAGACCGAGCTAAATGAGATAGGAAGGAAAGAGGAAACAAAAAAGAGAATTTAGGAAAGATGGTAAAGCAGGGACGGAGAAAGAGGGGTTGAGTGAAAGGCGAGGGGCACGGACAGATTCAGGGAGGAAAGAAAGGGGACACAAGGTGTTCAATTAGCAAGAAAATCCATATTAAGAAAGAGAGGAAAGGTTCAAGGAAGAAAGGGAGGAGAGAAGTGTGAAAAACAAGACGTCCAGAACTCACATCCTCTCAGTCCTTCAACACCTTCACTCCCTTTCACTGGAAACACAAGCCCTCCATTGCTTAGACCCCTCCCATTTCACTGCACTGATGTACTCCCACCCGCAGCTTGATTCTCCAATGCGCGCTCCTCACCCCATCATAGCCTTGGACCTGAGGGGGGGCAGGGCCTCCACGGTGCCCCCTCCCTCTGGAACTCTCCCCCCAAACTCTTAAGACGCTCTCCCTCGACCCCCCGTTTGAAAACTGCACTTAAAACCCACATATTTGAAGCTGTAATAATGAATGTAACTCAACTGTTTTTGATATGCTTTATACTGTTTCGGTTGCTTTTTTTAAGCACTTTATTAAATATATTGAGTGTTATTAGTACGAGAATAGGGGTTGTGTGACAAGAAGGAAGGGAGGCAATGAAGGAAGAAAAAATTAGGATTGTAAAAAAAAAAGGGATCAGGTAGGAGTCGAGAAATGGGGAGGAAGGAGAGAAAAGATTGGATGAAGTCAGAGGAGACAGAGGGGGAGTGTGCTTAAAGGGGAGAACAAACGTAGTGGGAGGAAGAGGAAATGAACTACAAGGGAGGGAACAAGTGATGAAAGAAGAGACAGGGGGGACACAAAGAATGAGAGGTGGGAGATGGGAGGAAAGAAGTGAGAGAAGGACCCACACAATTAGAAACCAAGGAAAAACTAGATGAAAGAGTGGAAGGTAAGACAGAAGACAGAGGACACACACACACACACACACACACACACACACACACACACACACACACACACACACACACACACACACACACACACACACACACACACACACACACACACACACCACACACACACACACACACACACACACACACACACACACACACACACACACACACACACACACACACACACACACACACACACACACACACACACACACACACACACAAACACACACACACACACAATCAGACTCTGTAATTTAAGAAGGTCTCATGATGTTAAACACAAAATAAATCACCACCTCTCCCTCTTGCCAATCAATCTCGAATAAACACCACTTTGATTCTCTCATCTCTATAAGTGTGCGTGTGTGGGTGTGTTTACGTGTGTGCGCGCACCCAAAACGGAGCCACGAGCCAGTTATTGATCCCCGGTCCCTGGTGGCATGTGCAGAGGATCACGCTAACAAGATTACAACGCTACAAACACGACGTGGAGACTTAGCCCGCTGAGCCACCGAGACGACCAGCAGCAGCAGCCTTTAGAGGCAGATGCAAATTACACATCACTCCAAATTAGGCCCATTACAGTATTTCACAGCAGGTGTTTTTCTGTCAAATCACCCATAGTTTTTTTTTGTTTGAAAGAGTTTAGATAGGAATTAACTACGTATTGCCTGCATGGCAGTGACTGCATCCAACCAGGCAAACTCCCTGTTTAGTTTTCTTCAGTCCTAATATCTTTTTGATGTTTGTTTCCTTTCAAATCCTTCTTTCACTTCAGAGCAACATCAGGAAATGTCCTGGACAGCACCTTTGTAATGCATTTACAAGCTTAAAGCTGGAACCTGGCTGTCATTAACGGTACTGCATTTCAAAAGCAGTTATTAAAGTGGAAACAAGTCACTGTCTGAATGAATCTCCTCAAATGTGTCCAGATAGATTTGTTGCATTTAGGTATTGGAATAATCAGAACACACTCATAGCTACTCCACTGAATTTAGGCTAATCCCCATTTTTCTCCAGACCTTTAACAGCCCCCTGGGGTCTTTAAGTCCACGTTACAGCATTTATAGGCTATAGCAGCTTGCTGTTGCTTTAAATTGTTCTCATAAATAGATTTGTTGCTAATCTTGACAATTCAAATCCACACTGATTTAGCTCCACTTGGCACCTCCTTTATCCGTCTACAGAGAGTTACCCATCTGAACTTTGATAGAGTGTGTGTGTGTGTGTGTGTGTGTGTGTGTGTGTGTGTGTGTGTGTGTGTGTGTGTGATGGGTTTATCCAGTATGTGTTTGCATGGGTGTTGTGCTGCATTTGTTAGATGAGTGTGTGTTTTAGCGAGTGGCTGTGTGTGTGTGGGTTGAGCCATTTCACAGCATTACTGTGAGTCATCCACCAAGCTGGTAGCACTCTGTGCATAGGGCTAGTTTAGTCATTTTATATATATTTATAAAAAATATTTTTTACATCTACTGGTGGAAGTCTTCATAACAGTGTAGGCTCATAAAAAGACTGTCGTTTTCAACCTAGACGAGAGGGTCGTTTGACACAACACACATCTGCTGCATCTCTGAAACAGACAAGGAGGCAAGGAGGCAAGGAGACAAGGAGACAAGACGACAAGATGGGAGACAGACAGATGAACACATATATGGACAGATACTGTAGATAGACACAGATACAGAGAAAAAGAAAGGGAGAAAGGGAGAACATCAGTTTAGCACCATGGACAGCTCTTGTCTGCAGCTGAGTGTAGTCAGGCTGCCATCTATTGGTCACAGACAGACTGCAGAGGACTGACAACTCAAAGAAGAAGAGGCAATAAAAGAAAGATAGCAGAAGTGTGATAGTATAAGATGAAGTTTAAGGTTATATACACCACTTATCGGTAGTTCAGGATGAATCAGAACAAAACTATCCCTTCTTATTTTCCATTAGAGTCTGATGTTAAAACCAATTTTGTCGAAAGGCATCAATGTGACATTAAATATGGCAGGTAATTGTCGAGAACATTTTCCAACATAGCACAGCTATAGCAACTTGTCCCCATTCATAATAATGGATTAAAGTAACACGCACATTTAACAGCAATCATGCAGTTGTTCAGGAGCAGACTCAGTAGATGGACTACTCTGAAGTAGGGCTGGGCAATATTGAGAAAATG